ACAAATGACAAAAGTCATGGTGGTGTGTATCTTTCCATGTTCTAGCTGAAGATTCATTTTCGTTTTGGACATTTCGAGAGTAGTGGACCGAGGCCCTTTACTTATTTGTTGTCAGAAATTTTGACGAAGAGAAGAGGAGAGAGAAGACTGCAAGGTGCGAGGCTGTGGGCTTAGCGCCCCATGACCGCCTGCGGTGCATTGTGATAGTCTCCTTGATACCCCTGATCAGTATTAGTGGGGTCTATGACCAACACGGCTGTGAGCATGAGCATGAGTGGGTTGTGCCCGGCCTTCAATTTTTTAAGATTTTGGGAAAACTGCCAGTTTTCCCTATTTTCCCAACACCGGCGGGGGTACCCAAAAAAAAAAAGAAAAGACTGCAAGGTTCGTGTTTTGAAAATATCTTTTCGTGATCTGTAAATTACTAACTTCTAAATCGTCAACATCACGACAAAGACCGACAAAGACCGACCAACGGGTCTACACCCATGAACTGTTGAAATACAGATCCAAGTTCGAATCCACACGCAATCAGATGAGAGAATAAGATCGTTCTGAATTAGCTGGGGCTGGCTCGTTCAATGATGACATCTCAAGGCCCTCGCCCTTTGTCTACCTACATCTACATCTACATCTACATCTATCTACATCTACATCTATCTCTACATCTACATCTACATACTACTAAAGGAAAAGCCGGGTCTCGCATGACGCCGGCGCGAGACCTGGTCTTCAGGTTAGGGACCCTGGGTGACGGGCCCAGGGACGAACTTGCAGCGACTATTGGGCCCACGAACGGGCGCAGGGCAAGAGGGAATAGGCGAGTGCCGTTTCGTGGCCGGGGGAGAAAGCCGGGAGGCCTGGTTTGCCTGGGCCGCGGGTTCCTGCTGCCTCATCCTCCTTTCCATGTTCTAGCGGAAGATTCATTCCATTTTGCTCATCCTATCGATGTAAGTAGCGTGGGGCCAGCCGCGGGGAGGGAGACGTCGCTGTGGGACGGTGAGTTGTTCATCCTGTCGATGGCTCTCTCTCTCTCTCTCTCTCTCTCTCTCTCTCTCTCTCTCTCTCTCTCTCTCTCTCTCTCTCTCTCTCTCTCTTCTGTATTTATATATCATCAAACAGAGCTGCCCGGTAAACTGTAGGCAGAGAGGGGGAAGATGATATATTATGAAGGCGATTCTCGTTGCCGATTATGAATGTGTCCACCACCACCTGTCCTCTCGGGTCACAACTTATCACGGTTGATAGACAGGACCACTCTTGAACAGAGAGGACTCGCGCTCCCCTGGTGTAAACTATGCTCCAGTGCATTCCCATCTCGAAAAAGACCTGAGACAATAGAACATATTCTCCTGCAATGCCCCGGTGCGGTCTGGCTCTGGCGTTGGTGGGATAGGGTGTGGGAGCAGTTAGGAACAGGGGTACCCTGGCCTTGGGATTGGAAGGTGCTGCTTTTGGAAAGATGGCCCTTTGACCAACAGAATGACTTTACTCACAACATTTTCCAGCTAGGACGAAGGGCAGTACTATGGGCGCTTTGGAGACGACGCTGCACATATGAAATGGAAGAGGTCAGGCTGGACGGGCCAGAATTTACGGACAGCATACAACAGCAAATCCAAACGGCTATACGAGCAAGGTGGGAGGTAACCAAGTCACAGATCCAACACATACATACTGAAAATGAAATAAAACAGAGGATACATGATTTCTGCAAAAGCTGGCTCGGGGGGGAAACTGGAGGGAGGATTGGGAAAGTGGAATGGACTGGGGGAAATGGGGGACAAAAGGAGAACAAGGGTGACCTGACAATTAACAGGGATTACAAACTCCTCTTCAACAACTGGACCAGCCTGGACGCCTCAATCCCGATGCGGCCAAATAGCCTGGTCGAGTTTTCCTGGTATGGGGGAGACTAAGAAACTCCTGAGTTGTGCGACCCAGCTTGTTGGTTTTCTCATTTCTAAAAAGTGCAGCTAGGGGAGGGTAAGGGAAGGGGGGAGCTAGTGTATAGCAGTAGATACTCGGCGCCGGATTTTAGGTGAAGAGCCCCCCCCCCCTTTTTTTTCTCTGTGCCTCCTGCTCAGTCAATCCCCTGGGTCCCAGGGTAATCAATGCTGGCAGGGTCTCCCCTTATGATACTGAATTACTGTGTAACATTCATGGGACGCTGGACCCGGTTTCCAGCAGGTGAAGCTCCCCACCAATAGATGGAGCCTCTCCCCGGGTGGTAGTGATGTCTGCTCTTACCAGCAACACTATCACTGGCGGGGGGACGTTTGGAAAACAAAAAAAAAAAAAAAAAAAAAGTTAATTTAACGTATTATATAAATAATTGAAACGGTTTTCACCTTCTTGCAGTCACAGATGCGGGCCCTAGAGTTCAATTCCCAGACTTTACCTTACCCATGAACAGTATCGAGTTGACCCCCGAGTGTTTGAACCCGTGACCTGTGTTTCAGTAGTTGGGCGTATGTCTGTCGTAGGTCTGTGGAGATGTCGGGGTTCGATCTGTAGGTCTGTCGAGTAGGGGTTATAGCTGTGTAGAGGCCGTAGCTGTAGCATTCCCGAAAGGTCAAGATCGTAGCTGCTGCAGTCCCGAAAGGACAAGTCCACAAACTTTCGGAAGGTCCGGAAGCGCCCGGCCATTCATTGATTCGCTGCGTAAGCCATGTGGGAGCACTGCTACAGCCTCTTGTGCGAGGTGGTCTGCAAATCGCCCGAAGTCGAAGTGGGCTGAAGAGAGACAACGTAGCCATAGTCAATAGTAGTAGAGCGGCCATAGTCGCTGTAGGAGGAAGATAGGCTTTGCTGTGTGTGTGTGTGTGTGCAAGAGAGGGAAGCATGTGGAGTATTCAGGGTGATCCAGGGTTGAGTATGTGCAAACGGTGGTGTTGGACACAGTGAATGCGGGCGCCGAAGCGCCATAGTTTGCTGAGGCGATTTTGCATCTGAACTGTGTTCTCATTTTCCATATCTCTGAGCTTTGAGTGGGCGCGCTGCGCCAGCGCGAATCGCCATCTGTTTGCATATTTGCGAAGTGGAAAAGAAAGCAAGTCTGATTGCATAATATACAAAACAGCCCCTTTTTTACTTAGTGGCTAGGGGACCAGAAGCCATTATGAATTCTTCAGTTCTCCCTCTCTCTCTCTCCCTCTCTCTGTCTCCCTCTCTCTCTCTCTTTCGTATTTATATATGTATTATGTATTGTACTATTTTTACTATTTTATATATATATATATCGTCAAATAGAACTGCCCGGTAAACCGTAGGCAGAGAGGGAGAAGAGGACAACAAACGAGGGGCTGTGACAAACTGTTTCGTCGGAGTTTCACCGACTCATCAGGAGGCTATATATATCATATATATATCGTCACAAACAGAACTGCCCGGTAAACGGTAGGCAGAGAGAGAGAAGAGGACAACAAACGAGGGGCTGTGACAAACTGTTTCGTCGGAGTTTCACCGACTAATATATAGTTGATTCTTTGTCGACCCCAGGCAGCCTCGGGTGAGAGGATAAAATGTATGAACAAATTTGGTGTACCTGATCCTATGACTATTTTTATTTCCTACTTACCTAGACCTCCAACTCAACACTGCTACTGCATCCCCCCACAATGACCCCCCCCCCCCCCCCCCCCCCCCCCCCCCCCCCCCCCCCTCTCTATAACGTGGAGGCATTGGCCTCACTCTGAAACTTCTCTCTATCTCTACCTATCTTGGAGTCACTCGTCCAGTCACAGTAATTGCTCCTACCTTATGTTACCGAATTTCCATACCAGGTGATCCTGGATTCCTGTCCCCCGGGACATCCGTTAAAATTGGAAAGACACAGAGAAGATTACCATGGTCCCTGCGCAAGTATGACACACATAAATCGAAAAATGGTCCCCTGAAAAAAAAAGAAAAAAAAACTTTCCATACCTTGTGATCCTGTCCCTCGGGATATAGTACCACAGGTTAAGACGATTACCCTGACCCTGGCCCTGCGCTTTCAAGGATGACACGTGTAGAGATCGAGAAATAGTCCAAATTGAAAAAAAAAAAACAGGTTTCCATGCCTTGTATTGTCCTCTTTCACGTCTGTTTCATGACTGGAGGGTGGGTTGACTGTGAAATGAAATGAGTTGGATATTTGGAGGGGTAACTTTGCAAGAGTTTCAAATTACGGGAACGGCAGGGGAGAGGCACATGCTGCATGGTGAATTGCTGACTCTCTGTGCGGTACAAACGGGCAGAGAGTGTGCAGGCTACCCTCTTCCCCCAAACACAACGCACGCTCAATTTGGCTGTACCGGACCCGAAATATAGCCCCCCGCGGACAAGACCCTAAATATAAGCTTGTATTAAGTTGTATACATTCATTATCAGACTGAGTTATGATCGGCGGACGACGGCAGCATGGTTAATCGTCCTCTATTATGCTCTGCATGTCCAGGGTCCATCATTATCTTTCCTTGCAGAACTTAGGGACCAAGGATCACTTTGCGGAGGTAAAACGGCGGAAATGAAGGGGACCAGGAACCAGGCTCAGGGTCCAGAAGGCTGGACCTGGATCCAAGAATGAGCAAACCAGCGGGTAATCTCACCAGCAAAGGTAAAACGGTGGAATGGGACCGGGACCGGGAAGCGGACTCAAGGCCCAGAGGGCTGGACCTGAACTGAACCCACCAGCTGGTAATCTCAGCAGTGGCTTCAGATACGGAGCCAAAACTTCTGACTTTCCTTGCCACTGAGGTGGAAGTTCCGTGGACCAGAACAAGACCAGGACTGAACGGAACAAGACCAGGATGGAATTGAACAAGACCGGGTCCTGGGGAGTTACTGCGGCAGAGAGTGTAGTAAGAAAGAAATCTTGGCAGCCTGCAAGCTACGCACCAGGTTCGCATGCATTTGAACGGGGTTCTCCTCGGTGTATTGGTCGGACGGAACGTGGAGTGGGACCAAAAGTCAGTGGTCTACAAGACGTGATCCGGAGACACCAACCGCATCAGCGTGCGAGGTGAACGGCTGGCGGCTGGTTGCTGGTCCGGCAGGCCCGAGGGTCGGAAATTTTTGTAGGCGATGAACGGAAATCCTAGTGCAAGGCTGCCGCCTTGTACTGGCGGTTTGATGAAAGCTGTTGGTGCTCTCAGCTCTGAGGCTGTCCGCTGGGAACCCTGAAAAGGTAGAATGGCTGCACTTCTGAATGGAGGTGTGAAATTTCTGCACTGCCCCTCCCTCCGAACTGTCAATTCTGTACAACTCCAGCTCCAAGATATTTTTCACGGGCATTCGTGGGGCGTCCCTGTACTGGTTCCCAGTGGATTTGCGCATTGTCACGGAGCTGTCGGAATCCGACCGAGCGGCAAGGTACGCTTTGTGTCTGCGCAAACGAGGAGCTCGATCCACCTTCGCAACTTAATCAGCGTGCACTCACAATCAGCATCAAGATGGAGGGTAAAGGAAGGAGGGAAGGTCGACCCAGTTTCGGAAACGAAGAGTCTGCCAACTGCTTACTTGTTGTCAGGCCAAGAGGCGACCACTGCCTCGGCTGATGCGTGCGACACAAAAGTTATCGTACCAGATGCTGATTTGGGGGACAAACCGGTCAGGATTGGTGAAAATTATTTGGAAGGACACTTGCACTTAGGACAGGACATGGAGGACGACAGTGATGACAGGCGAATCGAGCTGTCGAGCGAGGGCCACGCTCTCGTCCAAACCGCTCTGGCCATGGCAGGCGTATCATACGGTGAATGGATCGTCGTCAAGCGACAGCAAAAGAAACAAATGGAAGAAATTTGGGAGGATCAGGACGAGCAGGATGATGATGAGCGCCAGGGGGGTTTCGCGCTCCCACCCAGTAGTAGAACAGGTAGACAGTATGGAGGTCATCAGACAGTTGAAAGCCGTCAGAGGATTGCAGGTCGTCAGAGCGTTGACCGGCATCAGAGCATTGCGCTTTGGGAGGCTGGAATGCAAGCGGGTGGCAATGTCGTTGCTGCCGAGAATGTGTCGGATCTGGATGCATATGTTGTTGGGTCCTGGAGAGCGTCAACAAAGGATCAGATTTCATCAAACTCGATCAATCTTCGAGCGAGCGGTCACCTGAATCTGCCTCTCCCTCTCTCGAGTCTGACATCTCAAGGCGTCGTCGGAACGGCCCTGAAGCAAGCTGCCTCAGAAACTGCAACGCAGGTTGGTGGTGAGATGGCCCCGGAAAAGGTAGTGGGAGGGCGGCTAAGGAAACGAGGACGTACCGGAGTAACGAATGTTAGAAATGTAAGGACGCGCGATACCCAAGCCTCGAGGAGACGGATGGAAATCAGCTGGCTGAGGTTGATAATGTCTGTCGGGAACGTTTCTGGTCTTGAGCATGATGCAGAGAGGGTTGACGTTGTCTCGGAAATCATGAAAATTATGTACGCCTGTGCAAGGGTCCGCGTCAATGCCCGCCATGTCGCCGCCGCTGTGACAGTCTGCATCCGTGCGAAGGACGTCGTAAGAGGGGAAGAGATCCTTTTGGAAGCCCAGCGTAAGGGAGGTTCAGCTACACCCAATGCGTTTGCTTACGGGGCGCTGATCCATGGGTACTGCAAGATGGGACAACGGCGAGCTGCTTTTGCTCTGCTCTCACACATGAGAGATGCGGGAGTTGCACCCGATGAATCTATCTTTAACACGCTTCTGGAGTTTGAAGAATGTCCAGAGGGAGTGGCCATTGTACTGGGAATGATGTCTACGGCTGGGGTAAAACCCACAGAGCGCACATATAGCGCTGCCATTCGCGGTTGTGGTCGTGCTGGCAGCTTATCCGATGTCCGAGAGCTGTGGGTGAACATGGAAAGGGCTGGAATCAAGGGTACGCTCTTCACATACAACTCCCTCCTGGATGCTTATGCATGTATGGGAGAGACTGAGCAGTGCTACGACGTCCTTGAGAAGATGAAGATTGTGGCAATCTCTCCTGATCTCCGAAGTTTCAACACGATTATGAAGGCACATGCTCACGCCAGTGATGCCGAAGGGGCTCTTGCCCTCTTACAGGGAATGAAAGCGGCGAAGGTTTCGCCTGATATTGTGACATATAACATCGCAATGGATGCATGTGTTCGCGGAAGAAAGCTGGATCGTTGTCTGAAGCTTCAGAAGGATGCAGTTGCTGGTGGGTGTGCTCTCGATGCCACAAGTTTTGCTATAATGCTTCGTGCAGCGGGCCATCTTCGAAACATCCGACCTGTCGAGCGGTTATGGGCCGAGATGAAAGAGCAGAAGATTCGTCCGGATGCAGTGACCTACAGGTGTGCCATTCATGCCTTCATCCGATGTGGGGAAGGTGGACCTGCTCTTCAGATCTTAGAAGAGATGACATCTCTAGGATTTCCCCCGGCTCTGCATGTTGCCAATGTTCTCATAAAGAGTGTAGACGCCGCTCTGCTGCGCGAGTGCACTGCCGTTGCATCGAGTGGTCGCTTAGGTGAGTTTCTATCCAGCATGGCAGCTGCAGGATTATCCGCGACACCTGCGACAGCTGCAAGCATCGTAAAAAAAATTGCAAAATCAAATGGGATTGTGACCAGCATCAACGTTGCGCAAGAATTCCAGCGTGCGGGAATCAAGGGACTCGGAGATGACGTGTGGGGAGTACTGATCGACATGGTTGCGGCAATGGTAGAAGATGATCCCACCTCGGCACTCTCGGCAGCAGATAAGCTGCTTGCACTGATGAAGGAAGACGGAAGCGGGCTGAGCCGGAAGCTGTACGAGGCCAGGCTGATGGCTCTGGCAAAGAGGGGAGATGCAGGGGGGGTGCTGAAGCTTATGGCCGAAATGGACGCGGTCTGCGGACCGCAAACTGATGCTATTTCTGGCCCTGTGGGAAGACTATTGCTGGACACGATGGACGCTGCTCTCACGCAGGCCATTGCTGGGAAGATCGTCCGTGAGAGCAATGGCGAGGATGGGGACACGGAGGGGGAAGAAGATGTGCTGCCAACGAGTTTGGTGGACAGCTTGGCTTCGTCAGGAATCGTCGTTAAGCCAGAAGCCATGGCTTTTGTGATACAGAAGATGTTCTCAGATAGTCAAAGTGGGGTCGCGAACGGTCAAGCTAGTCAACAAAAGGAAGGAGTAGGTCGAAATGCGCATCGACAGGAAGCTCCGGTTCCTGGTAAGCAGGTGGGTAGGTGTGAAACCAACAAGAATGCAAGGTCGCCAAGATCGTCCCGTCTGGACAAAGCCTTGGCACTTGTGGATAACATGCCAAAGCTGCTAGGTGTGAAACCAACCAGTTTTGTTTATGCCTCGCTGATGGAAGTGTGCCTGCGCGAGGGCCAGGGGCAGCGAATCGAGCAACTGTGGGCCCGTATGCGGTCAGAGGGTGTGACCCCTGACTCCGCAACTTGGGTAGTTCGTGTCAAAGCCCTCCAGAGTGTGCATGGGAAGGTACAGGGAAGGGTGCACACACTTCTTTTGGAGGCTGCTGCGGACGGTCTTGAACTCGATATCCCTCTGCTTAAGGCATTGATGAGGGCATGCAAGGGAGCAAAAGACAGGGATGGTTGCCGGTTGGTAGCGAAGGCGATGAATGCGGCAGAGCGCAGGAAGAGCAGGCAGCTGGATATCCTCCTCCGGAGTGCACAAAAAAGCCAGTCGGCAAGCGATGTACCGGGATCTACTTGAACGGAGCTTTCCCTGCGAGCCCTCACTCCTTGCTTGGGCGGCGGGCAACGTGAAGCGATTCATGCTTTGGGCGGTGACCTAATCTATCGATCACCCCATCTCGAGGCTGTCAAAGAAAAGTCACACGGCTTTCTAAGGTGAGAAGATGGGCATTCTCAACCTCTCAGGGCCCAGGCGTCACTGGTGCTCTGCGTGTGCTAAGTTACCGCGAACCTACCGTCTTCACCCAGAACGCCCAGTCATTATGGCTGCATCTGGACTGAAAGGTGCTCCAAGTTCGGGTGGGTGAAGACGGTAGTGAACTTCAGGGGCAAGTTTTTTTTTGCCTGTCTGAGCAACAGACATAGCACCGGTGCAGCCTACCTACCGCCTTTCACTAAATAGAAGAAAGTACGGTCGTCATGGCTGCATCTAGACTGAAAGTTGCCCAAATGCAGCTAAAATGGCCGTACTACTTTCTCTTCGGGGGAAGTAGGTAGTCTACGACCTCAACATCACAAGCGACTACCTGATTTTGCGTTCTTCTGTTGCTGCATCTAGACTGAAAGGTGCCCAAATGCACAGCTAAAACGACCTTACCTCAGACCGTCGAGATGAAGTATGGACCCTTCTTGGTGAAGGTGATCCCCACGCCCCGAATCCACTCTTGCTTTTGTGACAAGACACCATCATCAAAGTCTCACTTACTTTTGCGAATGGCTTGCTTTGCCCCCCTTCCCCCCCTTCCTTAGTAACTTCAAAAGAGCTGCAGCCCGTACCACCTGCGGCAGCTCCGAAACGGAATTGAATCTCAGAAACTTGTTGACTTCCCAGGGTCCCAGGGGCAGGCTTAGGATTGTGAAAGTTACAAAGTTCATCTCAAATTTCCACTCATCTCTTTGTTTTGTTTTGTTTGTTTGTTTGTTTTTGTTTGTTTGTTTGCTTGTTTGTTTGTTTGTTTTTGTTTGTTTGTTTGTTTGTTTTTGTTTGTTTGTTTGTTTGTTTGTTTGTTTGTTTGTTTGTTAATCCACTTGTCTCTTTGTGTGTCGTTATAAATTCTGAATTCAGTGATATATATTTTGTGATGGTACAAGTCGTACGAGGTCATCCCTCCCTCCCTCCCTCCCTCCCTCCCTCCCTCCCTCGGTTCATCCCATCCCTCGCTCTTTCCCCTCACTCTTGTTTGCCTCCTCTTTCCCTCCCTCCCTTTATGCTCTCCTACCTGCCTCCCTATATACTTACCTCCCTTCTTGAGTCCCTCCCTCCTGCCTGCTCCCTACCTCATTGCCTCACTGTCACTCTCTCTCCTTGGTTCTCTCCGTCCTTCTTTCTCTCCCTCCCTCCTTCCCGCTTTGCCTCCTCCTTCCCTTCCAATAACTCCGAAACGGACTAAATCAGAAACCGGTCGACTTCACGCTGTTCACAGGTTCAGGCTTGTGAAGATTTGGAAGTTGTATCAAACTTTGGCACACCTCTTTCTACGGGCGTCTCGCTATTTATAGTAAGTTCGCCAAATTGCTGCACTGCATCCTGGCCGGCTCGGCATCACCCGGGTCAGCCAGGTACCCTTCGCCCGTGCCAGCCTGGCCAGTGTCAGGCCAGGGACTCTCCTCTCACTCCTCAGCGCCAACTGTCATCTATCCGCCCCCTTACCCATGCCCAGGTCTCAAGACGCTGACTTGAGCCATCCCAGCCCGCACTCGACTGCCGCGCCCAAGCTGCAGCATCCCTCTTGAGCAAACCTCATATCTAGCCCTCTTGAGAACAATCAGATAGAGAGACATGACGGATCACCTCATATCTGGCTGAAAATTTCACATGATCATTGATCACTCCTCTGTCCCTCCCTTTCTGCCTGGATCCCTCCCTCTCTCCCTCCATCCTTCCCTCCCTGCCCAGATAGGAGGGGCAGATGGGCCAAAACCTGTCATGGCGTATGCCTCTGCCCAATCGTGCCTTCCTCTCCCAGCGGACAAAGTCCATAATCCCACCATATTCCGAGTCTGCCTTCATCCCCTCCAGCACGGTCGACCCGCGTTTCTTCCCTCCCTGCCCGGATAGGAGGGGCAGATGGGCCAAAACCTGTCATGGCGTATGCCTCTGCCCAATCGTGCCTTCCTCTCTCAGCACGCAAAGCCCATAATCCCACCATATTCCTTGTCTGCCTTCATCCCCTCCAGCACGGTCGACCAGCGTTTCGAGTAAACAGGGACATCATCCCCGCCTAGTACAACACTGGGCACATTACCGATGTCTCCCCCGGGTTCCGGTCCAGTGGGGTACGCTCCAAAACCCTCGGAGCGGGATCTCAAAGCAACCTCCCCCCCTAGGCTCCAACCCACCCATCGCCGACAGACTGCCATCGGTCATACACTGACTCGACTGACTCAATCCCTGCAGCGAACAGGATACCGACTGGCGTTCGCCCAATATGTCCAAATGCTTCACTCATCTCCGACCCCAACGTCATCAATCTATCATTACGTTGGGCTTTCGGCACATTCTTGGCGTTACCAAGCAATGGAGACAACCCTGCCATCTCGCACGTGCGTTTCTGAAACGCACGTGACCTCGCACCCGTGGGTGCGGCAAGCGCGCACAAGTGCAGGGCAACACTTCCTTTCGTGCAAACACACAATGATGGTTGTGTATCAAGTCCGCAATGTTTGAATTGCGAGTCCAAATCGTTCGGACTTCATGTCGAGCGCGCCAGACCATGCGGTCTTTGCCTTTACGCTAGATTCTGTGTTTTTTCTCCTGCTGGGCTGCTCCGCCTTGGCTGTCGTGGGCGAATAAATATAATCATTAATATCGTTTGTTTCTGAAGCTTTCCACCATGTTTCTTTTGGCGGCGCACTGCGCAGCAAAAATGGCGAATTTCCGGCCCTCCGTCAACCGCAGTTGTTTCTTTTTTTCTTTGTTTCTTTTTTTTTTTTTTTCACGCCGAATTTTGCACTGAAACTGTCACGTTGGCCAGAGTTTTTTTTTCTTTTTTTTCTTGTTTTTCTATAATGTGTGATATGTATGTGCTTTCGGTACATCGCGCATTCAGTTTTTACATTTTTGGACTGTCAGAAAAAAAAGGTTTGCATTTCGCTCACATCGTTGTCCTGCCTTCCCACAACAGAAACTCATTGCTGTTGTTGTCAACTTTTTATGCCTTGTTCCCAGCTTCCAGCAACCTTCTCGGCCAGGGGAGCTTTTTTTTGCCTTGATGCTTTGAACGGATTGTGAATCGTCCTTCATATCGGATGTGCACATCGCCGGTTCATCCGCGGATTCAGCGCTGCTATGACGTAGCAATTATACTTCTTGCTCGCTCTCCTGCTGCAGGCCCGCAGATGCTACATCAGCGAAACGGTGTCCGGCAGTGTATGCATCTCCGTCCCGGGACGGCTCCATGCTGGATGTCTCATCAGTGCTCCGCTGAGCTGACTGGAAGCCTGGAACTACACGACCTTCTTCGACCGAATGAAACGTAGTCATTGTAGCTGAATAGGAGCCACGTTTTCGTCCAGATATGGCTACAAGTACCATACTTCCGATTCGGCTGAAGAAGGTTAGGCGAGTGCATCTCTCACTTCCATGCTGCTCATCCCTTGAGAATATCACTTGTCTCTCCAGAACCAGGCTTCACTTGCGGCGTCTACCGACCACCAGTGGGTGCATCAGCAGGCTTCACACTTGAGAGTTTGCCTCCTGTCACTATGCAATCAGGGTGCATGTCTATTTTTCACAGTAACCAAGTGCGATCAGTGCATGCAGTCCTTCACGAGGTTCTGTTGGAACCGGTACCTTTCTCTTTCTGGAAAGGAAGCATATAATGTTGCTACCTTGGACTCTTCGACCCTTAAACCCCTTTAACCCACTTTAACCCCCTTAACCTCAAACTCTAAACCTCTAAACCCTTAAACCCTTAAACTCTAAGCCCTATGTGCTAAACCCTAAACCCTAACCTTAAACCTTAAACCTTACACGTTAAACCTTAAACCATAGAGCCCTATGTGCTAAACCCTAAACCCTAAACCTTAAACGTTACACCTTAAACTGTTAAACCTTACACCGTAGATCTTAACAACCTTAAGACCCGTAAACCTTAAACCCTAAGCCCCATGTGCTAAACCCTAAACCCTACACCTTAAACTGTAGATGTTAACAACCTTTAAACCCTTAAACCCTTAAACCCTAAGCCCTATGTGCTAAACCCTAAACCCTAAACTGTTAAACCTTACACCCTAAACTGTTAAACCTCAAACCGTAGATCTTTAAAACCTTAAAACCCTTAAACACTAGACACTAAGCCCAAACCCTACTACTTGTTCGTTACCCTGCACCTCGTTATAAGTCCAACCTTATTAGTTCTGGAAGGGTCTCGTGTGCCGCCGAGCTGTTCAGGTTTACTCGAAAGTATGTCCAAGCGGCAATGTGCCTGTAGAGAAATCAGTATTAAGGAACTACCGATAGTACAAGGAATGGGAGCGTCGGCGTTCCGGAGCTACCTACCATGCCTGTCTATTGAGGACAAAGCTGGGACTCTGGTCCACCTGTGCTTTGCCTGAACGGGCGGATTAAGCTGGGACTCTGGGCCTGCGGTGCTTTGACGGGAACGGATTACTTTGTGAGAGGGATGGATGGTGCTTAATGTGGGACTTCTGTGCTGTGAAACACATGAAGAAGACTTGGAAAAGGAAGAAGGATGCCACATAGTAGGAGGCCCTTTGGCGGTATCAGCTGTCGACGAAGAGAGGAGGACATGAGACATGTTCTTCTATCCGCTCGGAGATAGCTGCGCTGGGTGCTCTTCGAGGGCAAGGAACATCTGGCAGTGGGTTCTCGATTCTATTTATAGTATTTTATACAAGCTCATTTTTATCGACTGCAGGTGGTTCACTGTGTGGTGAGTTTGGTGCTCTGGAGGGGCTGAGGGTTGTGCAGTTTGGGGGTCATTTAGGAAGAGAAAGATTGACCGAGACACTTAAGCGTCATGCCGGTTGTGTGTGTACGTCCTTGTGGCGTTCTCTAAAGTGCGAGCTCTACCTGGACAAAGACTACGCGTCAACGAAATGCACGACAGAACGCACCACAGAGCTCACTTTTGCTTTGTGGTGCATTTCCATTTCCGTGAAGTGCGGACGGCCAAGGAAATGGGAAGTAAATGAAATGAGAAAAGACAAAAGCAAACAGCGGGCGTTTTCTTTCGTGTGTTCGCTTGCATGCTCATCAAAACAAAAAAGACAAACAAACAGCGGGTGTTTTCCATTCTGCGTGCTGCCTGCATGTTCCAGACTGCAGTTCCATGCGTCAGTATTTTCTAGTTGTGCGGGCATTGGAGGTTGTGTACAGAGATTTGCGTTTTTCGCTATAGTGTTTGCTCTTTTTGAGGTCCCCTAGCCCTTTATTATCCCCGAAGTCCTTTGAGTCCCCCAATGGTTTTCTCTTTCTGCCTTTGGCGTGTTCTGATTTCTTCTGAAGCCCCCTCCTAGTCCTACAGCAGGTTTTCATGGGATTTGCTTTGCATGTGCAAAGCAGTGCTGCTGGCCCTGCGTAGCTGTTTTCTTGGCCTCTATCTGCTCTCTTTCTGTGTTTGCGGTGATGGGCATGCAGTTGTGGGAGCATGATGTTTTCCTTTTTTTTTCAGATCGAACTTCTCCAGAGGTAGTGAAGAATTTTCACAGAGGTGTGAAGCACTGTGGACGGATACCTGCACGGGGGGGAGTGCTCGTCCAAGAGAGAGAGAGAGAGAGAGAGAGAGAGAGAGAGAGAGAGAGGGCCGTGTATAAGAAAGAAAAGACAAGGAAGGAAGAGTTGGCCTGTGCTTGGGCCTGTAGGGAAACAGGCAGATAGCTGTGGTCTGATGTGAATGGCGCTCATGGAAAGACTCTTCTGACTGCACCTGGTAAAAATGTGATCCTCCGAGTCCTAGTTTGACAATGCTATTGCTATAAATCCTCTGAACTTGAAGTCCGCAATTCCGTGGCGCCTTAAATTCTGAAGAGTCTATTTGCTACCATTCCAAGTTCCCTGAGGCCCACTACAGCCTTCGCTGGGAAGACTTCGACTCGAAGGTGAGCAAGGCGGGTTGTGAAAGCATGCGAGTAGCCTGCAGGTTAGTGTCTTTTCTTTTTTTTTGTCTTTTGTTTCTTTGGGGGGAGAAGGGGGGGGGGCAGGGGGACAGACAATGGGCAATGCTCTAATCTATTCATGTCGAGCAACAGGTGCTGCGAATGGGGCCCGGCGTCCCTCATAGACAAGCTCCAGGGCAGCGTCCAAATCACATCGCCGACTGTTTTGCCTGGATGGATGTCCAGTGAAATGGTGCGCCCCAGTACTTCTCCGAAGTCGAGGCAGCATGCGCGTTGCGACTCCGAAAAAGTGGCTGGGAAACGAACTCGTGGTTTGAAAGTTATGTGATAACATCAACACGCTAAAGAACTTTACGCCTCCTTAGCCCATTCACAACACCGGTGACTCCATAGTTTTTGCCATTACCTATTGGGGGATGCTCATACCACCTCCGACAGTAGCACCCCCTCCAATCCCCCCCCAGAATGTTTTGATTGGCAAAAAAGAAAAGAAAGCAGTAGAAGAAGAAGAAGAAGCATGGTCAGCGGCAATGTTTTAGTATTAGGGGCCAGATACCACAGATGCTAAAAAAAAAAAAAAAAAAAAAAAAAAAAAAAAAAGAAGAAGAAGAAGAAGAAGATACCACAGGTGCTATGTTCATGCCAAGAAAGCATTGAAGGACAATCATTATGACCAAAGAAAGTCTGAATATGGCCACGGTTATGACCAGGTTCATGCTCTCCCAGGCAAGAACATAGCAACAGTGGGGCCATACTCTTAAATCACCAGTACTTGGCCCATACATCGGCCGCGGCACCTTAGCGTTAACGCTACGGGTTTTCCGGGCTTCGGAGAAGGCCCGGTAGTGCTATGGAGGAAGAAGTCATTGGGCCCAAGGAAAATCACAAATGGAATGTAGTCTGTCCCCTTGGTTTATACCGTGCGTGTGGAAACAATGCACAGACGCAGTATAGGCCATAAAAAAAAAAARAAAACAAATGAAAACGAGACAAGTGCAGGAAAAAAAAAAGAAGAAAAAAAAACAAAGTCGTACCCTCCACTTGGCGGCCAAAAGGAGTGAGATAACGCCCTTGAGTGTTTTCAGAGCGCCGCCTCTCACGGCGGGCAGGCGGGCAGACGAAGGGCCAGCTCGGTTGGGTCTCTCTACACTACTACAGGACAGCTAAAAAACCGAAAATGTATCTTTCCATGTTCCATAGGAGGATTCAGTCTCATGCCTTCACGTTTGGAGAGTTGCCGTGGGAGGCGGGCCTCTGACAGCGCTGACAGCGCTTTGAATCCTTTTTGCCCTTTTCAGTCTTTTTTTCCCTTTGTCTCTGGAAGAAGATTTGGTCCGACTTGTGCAAAATAAGACTGAATCGACCCCTAGAACATGGAAAGATACATTTCCATCTTTTTTGTCTTTTGGTTTACTTTTTAGACTGAATCCTCCCCTACAACATGGAAAGATACGTGTGGGGAGACTGAATCATCTGCTGGAACGTGGAAAGAGGTACACCGCCATTTTTTTTATTTTTCTATTTTCTGCCTTTTTTTTTGTCTTCACGGGGAGCACATCAGAAAAGCTCTTCCTTCTGCCCGCCGTGATAGGCGGGCCTCTGACAGAGCTGAGAGCACCCTTCTTGCCTTTTTTAGTTGTTTTTTTTCTTTTTGGCACTTCTGGCCGGCGTGGGCTAATGTACGAGTGAAAACAGCTACCCGTTTCGCACCAGCTGCTGGTTGCAGGTCCAGCACAAGGGGCGGTACCTGTGCCAACCACAAAATGCCCCCTACCGGTTCCCGCCCCTTCCAGGCTCGGCAAAGCTTGGCGCGCAGGGCATATTTAGGCTCGGCATCAATAGCTGGGCCAAGTACTGGTGGTTTAAGCCACTGACGGATTACGAATGCAAGACCGATGATGAATTCCTTTTTGATTGACCAGTTCACACTCATACGACAAGGCAGTGGAATAAAGAGCAAGGACGATGACTTGTCCGCGGAGAAGGAGACATAAATGGTTGTTGTGCGCCTTGTTTTTCATCCATGGTGTCGTCTTCCGGACTGCGGGACCTACCTTCTTCTCTTGAACACAACACCCGAATCAATATATCGGTCTGGGATAAAATACGATGCAGCAATTACAGCGCAAGGGACAAGGGGTGGTGTGGAGCGGAGTACTACGGTAGGCCTACCGTTTCCAAGTAGGGCTTGCCCCAACACGAGCACAAAAAACAGAAAACTACCATCTCTGAGCAGGAAAGGAGTCCGAAGAGCAGGCTATGGTGAAGAGAAGACATTGCAGTCATCACTGCAACAAAGGATAAGCGCCGTTAGGCTATGGCTAAAAACACAGGTGCAGCTGTTGCAGTGTGGTCATGCAGTTTCGCTAGCTTTGAGCGAAACTCCCTTTGCTGTCAATAACCAAAA